AATCGTTGAAGGTCTTTTTTTTCCAAACATTCTTATATTAGCATTAGCAAAAGGGAAACTTTATGTCCATTTTTTTTTTTTTAAAAATCCAAAACGTAAAACATCCGCAGTGCCACAAAAATTCAAATAAGCGCTAAAATTTGCACAACATTTCACTATTATCAATAGAAAAGACAAAAAAAAAATTCGGATCAAAAAAATGAGTAGAAATTTTCAGGAGAACAACATGGCAACAGAAACAGAAAGCGGTAATTTCAAGTGGTTCGAACTGGATGAGGTATTCCTGCTCATATCCCGAAAGAAAACTACTTCCAATGGGCTAAGATAACAGCGTGAAAAGAGATTATTCACTTATTTGCTAAGTAAAGCCAAAGTCAGATTTCAAAAAAAATTATTTTCAAAAAAAAAAAATGCTACATTTTTTGAAATATTTTAATTCTTAAAAGAAATTGATGAAAAACATGCAACAAAACTAAGCAAAAAATTTATTTTCCAAAAAAAACGCCGTATTTTTTTAAATATTTTAGTTCTTAAAAGAGATCGATTAAAAACACACAAAAAATTAAGCATTAACGAGTTCAAAACAAAAAATCTGAAAATTTTTCCCCTGTCAATTACCCAAATTCAATACCAGAAACTTCTGCTCAACAAAAACTGGCCCACATTCTTAAGCATCACGGTCTCCCCTCCCTCAAGCTAAGCATCAGATCGTCGAAATTTTCCCATTCCCTACACATTGTAATGCTGTTCGTCTCATAAATCTGCCTCGGCCAATTGCAGAAACCTAATAAAATCACTGGCACGGGACCCCTCCACTCGTTGCCCGGGAGATCATGGTATTCCTGGTAAATAAGCCAAAAATCATGCTAAGTAATTTTTGTCAATATAAGTAATCATTTGATTATCGGAGCATGCCAAAATTCCCTTGGCTGATACATCGAAAGTGTTCACTGAGGCAAATCCATTGATGAGGATCGTGACAAATGCATTTCCAGAACGAACTGATCGTGACAACCATACATTTGTTCGCGACTGGCCATCAAAATCTGCGAATGAACTGCAAAATTTTTTTGGTTATTAATAGCAATCTCCATTTTTCATGCATTTCCGTTTTTTTTTTTCGATGTTTTTATTAAAAAAGTACCAAAACTGCAAAAAAAGGCTGTATGACCAAGACTGGACCGCAGCAGAGAGTGTTGAATTGGGAAAAGCTGAAAACCACGTCCCTTTTGTTTCGGGAAAAAGTACGCCCCGCAATCCGCAACTAGGCAGCTACACGTAGAAAAGCTAACAGCAGTTTTGAATTTTACAATATTTCTAATGTTTTCAAACTTTCGAAAAATCATGCTACCTCTACAAAACTTTTGGGTTGTACACATGGGCGGATCCAGGGCAGCTTTCTGAGGGACAGGGAGAGGAGAGGGAAGGGAGTGAGGCTCCTAATAGCGACGAGCAAGGAGAGAGAAAGGGGGAGGGTAACCGGGGGGAGGGGGGAAGGGACTGGGGCTCTAGGAGAAAAGCAACAAGAGGAGGGAGGGGGAGGAAGGCGGAAAAAAGTTTTCTTCAGTTTTAGCTTTAAACTTGGACTTCTGTAGCACTGGTGCTTATGCCGCTGGTACGGAGAGGGGAAGGAAGGGGCTGGGTCCAACTATAATTGTACGCAATGACATACGAATGCGAAACGTGTTCACCAACGAAAATAAAAGCGTGAAGAGTGACTATAACAGAAGTATTAATGGAGTGAATGATATTTGGAATATTTCTTCGTGGTCAAACCCCCTGGCAAATAAGCAACATGCAAAAGTAAATTCCAATGGGCAAGAAATGTTCTTCATCTTGCTCAGAGCTGGTATGCGTCAGGTATCAGCAAGCACTGACTACAAGTAAGCGAACGGACTAGTTATAAGCGGATCCAGGGTGGTTCCCTGGTAGGAGGGGGGAGGGACATTTTCCACCTCCCCTTCTCCCCTCATCA